GAAGCCCTTGTCAAGAAATTCCAATGGACTCTCATATGAACATTTGAAAATTGCCCTGTTCTGACTTTCTTTTAGTTCCCTGTCTAGAACTTGTAATGCTAATTACTCTTGCCTTTACTTCTCCTTCACATCTCCTAATCACAATTCAAGTATTGAATCACAATTCAATTTGGGAGTCTTTTAGATAGACCCACTGAAGGGGTACTCCAATTGCCTCACCCTGCATCCCTGTTCAGCGTGGAAGAAACCAGAGCGGTCTGTGTGCTGATTCCCTATTGGCAATTTGGGTAACCTCTTCAGAGGATGGTGTGATAAGAATAGGAGGTAGGATGCTGGGCACGGTGATGCACGCCTTTAATCCCAGCACTCGGGAGGCAGAGGCAGGTGGATCTCTGTGAGTTCAAGGCCAGCCTGGTCTACATAGTGAGTTCCAGGCCAGCTGGGGCTACAGGCAGACCCTGTCTCAAAAAGACCAAAAAAAAAAAAAAAGAATAGGAGGTAGGAATTGGCTAAGTAGTTAGGGTAAAAATACCCCAAAGAAAAGAAAAGTAGCCAGTTTCTTGACTAAAACTCACAATGTCCTTGGGTCTCTTTAGCAACATATTCCTTTCCAAAGGCCAAAACTGCGAAAAGATTTGGGAGCTTTTATCTAATCCTTAACAGATTTTAGGGTACCTCTTCAGAGGGGAGAATGTTAGAGTAGCCAAAACCCTATAAAAATTAAATAAAGAAGGAAAAAAAAATTTCACATGACCAAAGACCGCAAAGTGGAAATAACAAGAGATTAGATGCTGGATAAACCATTTTTAAAAATCCACCCCTAAGAGCCCAGCACCAGCAGATAGAGCCTCGGAACCATCCTTTTCCTTTCTCCCTCCCTCAGTCATGCGGAATTTTTGCCTGTAAAGAAAGGCAAATCCAGATGGTCTTTGAGGCTCCTTGTCCCCAATTCCAATGGCTTGGCAAGGTGACAGCCCAAGTGGTCTGAGATCAACAAGAAGCAAGCTGATTTAGCTGCTAGCAATCCAGCTTCCCAGCACAAAGAGGACATGCGTTAAGAGTTACTGGCAGGAGAGCTGACAGGATGAGAGGAAGGTAAGGAGGGATCAGCAGCTCGTTGGCCTGATCTGTACTGAAGGCTCAGAAGGGAACAAGGAGAGGAGACGGATGAAATGCAAATTCTCACAGCATCAATAGACCTTGGTGACTATCTGATGTGAGGAAAAGAAGCATCTAAGATCACTGCACAGATCCAGAGCCTTGGATGTACCTTATCATGTCATGGGAGTGAGGTTGCTCTTTACTAAGACACTAGCCATGACTGATCCAGTTCAGCTGCCTCCAGTCTGAGCACATTCTCCATAGATGAGGAGAGTCCACAGATTATACAGGCTCTGCTATTTGCTTACCAGCAAGTTTAACTCCCAGTACATCCTACTGGATACACCTCATGTAGCAACAGTACTCAGTATGTCCAAGCCCACTTTGGGAAATAGAGAACTTACCAAGTAATATAGATAATAAATATTCTTGTGCTTATATGCAACTTATACCTACTTATTAGCCAACACTAGAAAGATCCTAAATTCCTATCAAAAATGCTTGATACACACAAATTTTTAAACACAGGAGAATTCAGTGGTATAAGTTGACTCTAGGGAGGAGAAACCAGTAAATGAGTACAGGAATAATAGTATTTAATGGTTTGCAATTCAGAAACTATTCAAACTGCATTACCTATTTAAATAGAAAGCAGATATTTTAAGCAATTAGGAAAAAAATCCATCATTTATCATATCACCCCTTTTAACTTTCTAAGGTAAGCATTCTGTATATTTTCTCATACAACTAATCTTGTTCTCCTACAACTTAATAGAAAGTTCACTCCATGAAGTAGGAATTTGTATTATTTACCCAGTAGCACTCAAACAGGATAGGATGTAATACCCAGTAGCCACTTATTAAATATTTAATAAACCTTAGAATTTGCCATCTTAGCTCCTAAAACGTCTCTCCTCCAGAATTTGGCAAGCTTCAACGTTTTCCTTAACACCCAGTGTGTTTTCCTATCCCTGGGGTTCGTATTTTGTATTGTAATTGCCTTCTGTGTTGGGCTCTGAGGACTGTCATCTATTGGAGGACACTGTCTTCGGGGCCTGGCACACAGCTGGCAACAAAGGTTCAGTGTAACCGATCAGAACCACAGGCTGACACCAATCCCACCCAAGAGGCACAAGAGCTGATAACGCGCAAGAAGACAACTGCCCAGCCACGCCTTTGTTCCACTGGACTGACACTGGCTGGAAATCAACTGCCTGTCTCCAACCCCAACGAGAACAGCTGACACTGACACCACGGGGGCAGTTGTCCCCCACCAAACGCGCACACCAGACCCTAAAAGGGCTCCCAGTACCCACACCCTGCGGCCCAAGGACAGCGAGGCCTGGGCGGCCCCACGCTGGACTCCGCGCGGGCCAGGAGGCGGGAGCAGATGGGAAGAGGCTGACAGGAAGCCAGATTTGCGACCCACCGTCCGCACACACTTCTGTCTCATGAGTTTTCACCTGCGTTCCGCTTTCTCTATCCCCATTCTGCCCAACTCAGACCCTAGAAAGCCAGGGGGGCCCTCACGCACCACCTCACCTGGACGCCGCCATATTGGAGACAACCGCACTACATTTCCCATGAGCCCGCGGGCGCCAACAGCGCTCCCACAACCCCCTTCGCCGCCCAAGTTCTTTGTTGACCCTTTCTCCTCCAGGTGTCTGTAGACTGTAACAGAAAATTTGGCTGTTTCCTGCCCGTGAATAGCAAAGGTTGGAAATGTAGCATGTTTTTATGAGTCGCCCCTCGGATGCACAAAGTCAAACAGGCTGTGTCACATCGAATCGTGGTTACGCACACCTCATCTTGGACTCTACCTTTGGTGCTGAATCTTATTAGATGTATGCAACAGGATCTTGGGAACTGAAAGATTACATTGCATAGGCGCGCGGGCGGGGGGGGGGGGCGGGGGAATGTATGAACTTGGTAAAAGAATGGTACCAAAGAGTAATAGGAAAAGGGGAAAGACAGGAAGGGTACCGTGCCACGAAATGAGATGGTCTCACTCCATCCTATGGTCTGAAGGGGTTTCAGAAAAGTAAAATGAACTGATAGGAATATAAATTCTTGTGGAAGATAAAAATCTGAAGCAAGAGGTTTATTGAGTAATCAAGTAAAAAGTAAAGAAATGCTAACTAGAACACACCCATGGCGGGCAGAGGAAAAGGAAAAAGATTTGGTAAGGCACGGGATAGGGTGGATAATTATTAGTTGTTCCTGCTTTGTTATTCGCAATGTAAATATGTTACAATTCTCCCTACATGGAATGTGAACTGTGTGAGTACAGAGAAGGAAATGTGGCAATGATGTGGGGGGGGGGGGGGTGTCACTTCCTACAGTGCCCCATCAGCACCCTACCACAGAGGGCTCTCAGTAGAAGTTAAGACTGGCTGAGTCGGGGAATGATTCTTGTTGAAAACAGAAGGAAAGAACAGAAGCTGGCTGGCAGATAAGCAGCCATTGCAATGATCTAGGAAAGACAGGGTGAAACTAAAACTGAATAGCAAGAGAGAGGAAGCAAGTGCAAGAGGGAGAGGGCAAACCAGACATCGCAAACCACTCCAGTGTGAGCGGAACAGGGGACTGCCCTTGCAACCGAGCACTATTGGGTGCTTTCAAAACTATATCCCAATAAAAATCCCTTCAGTGATGGAAATGTTTCATAACCTAAGACATCTAATACGTTGGATACTAGGAACATGTGGCTTGAGTACTTTAAATATGGCTAACACCACTTAAGACATGAATCTCGGAATTTTAAATATTTAGTTTTAATTAAATCAAAATAACCACATAGGACTATTGACTAACAAATCTGACAACAGTGCAAAATATTCCCTTATACCTTATTGACCAAATGAAATTACTTCATCTTAGAATGTGTCCTCCTTTAAGATACTAAAGCTTTAAATTTTTCTAAACCCTCGTGAAACCACTCTCTTTTACTTATCTTTAGGCATTCTGATCATTGCTTTCAGAGTGTTCTGTTTCCTTTCCTCCCTCTGTCCATAATTAAACATAGGCAATCCCTCAGGTTTTGTGTTTGGCCTTTTCCTCTATAGTCTCTTTTTGTCTGCCCTCACCGGAGTAATAAAGAGACTTGTGACTCATTCCCCATTCTTTATACTCGACCCTGACTTCCCCTTGCTTAATAAGCAGTTTGGTTGAGAGAAAAGCATGTGCACTGAGGTATGACCTGAGGCAGAAACTGCCAAACAGCACCTACCCTTTATTAGTATTGATCATCCTTTTCTCCTCCTCTGCTCCCGAGTTCTAGACATAAATTTCCAACTGCCTACTAATCATGCCTCCCTAGAAAAGGGTGGATCATATAAAAGTTTAAGGACAGGCAAATGTATCTCAGTGACAAAGTATTTGTCTAGTACTCAAAAGGCTCTGGGTTCTATCTCCAGGAAAACACACACACACACACACACACACACACGCGTGCACACACAATGCAATCCTTTTTATACAGGCCCTTATCTTTTATTGGAGTGTTGCATACACAGTTCCAGAGAATATGACTCTGAGAAATTTTCAGCTGCACTGAGACCCTGCCTTATTCATAGCATGACCCCAGTATCTTTCATAGTCTGTAATAGGAATTTAATAAACTGAACTACAAGGTAAATAATTGAACTTAAAGATAGAATTCATCTTCCTCTGTGGAAAAGTCTTTACATAGCTATCTATAATAATTTTTCAAAGGTATTAAATCTCGACAGAATGACTTTCCTTAGTAAATCTCTAATTTTAACTTTGTAAGGTGGCTCCTCTGTGAACTGCAGGAGTTGGCAAGATATTTCTGTAAAGGACAAGATAATACAATTTTTCATCCTTATGACTACGTGTTTTTTATTCTTTTTTAACTAAAGCTTTTAAAATGATGGGTGTGCTCAGTGGCAGAGTGTTCACTTAACCTGCACAAGGCCCTGTAGTCAATCCACAGCAAAGCACACACACACACACACACACACACACACACACACACACACACACAAAAAACATAAAACTTTTTCTTAGCTCCTCCTACTTATGCTGAAAGGACAGTGTGTCAGTCTTTGGGACTCTGTAATTGAGCGCACAATCCCAATGTAAAGCTATGATTGGATTTAACATTGAATATGTTTATTGCTGACTGTAACATAATATAAATGAAGCACACATGATTTTAATCAGATTAGCCAAGAGTACATTTTAAAACAATGAAAAGTAGAGCTCCAGAAAGTAGAGCATAGAGAGAAACATATCATTTAGAACTGGTTTTAGTTGCCAGTAACTGAAAACAGTTATTTTCCACAAACACTAAGCCACCCAGATAAAGGCAAGTACATTGGTTCTGTTGCCCAATAATGTCAAGAACCCGGGCATTTTCAAGTCTCCTGCTCTACCACCCTTGGTGTATTGATTCTTCTTCTTCTTTTCCTCCTCCTCCTCCTTTTTTTCTTTAGCATTTATTTATCGGGGGGGCTTGCATATGGAGATCAGAGAACAACTTGTGGGAGTTGATCCTCTCCTTCTGTCATATGGAATCCAGTTATCAAACTCAGATTGTCAGATTTGGGGCCGACTGCCTTTATCTGTTGAGCTATCTCCCTGGACTATTTATCCTCATTCTTTATGTCTCCTGACTACAAGTTACTGCTGCAACATTGTGCCATCACTATCTGGAAAGAAAATAGTGTTGCCATCTTTTCATTGAAGAAATAAACACGCCCAGTGTACTTCCCTTTGTTTTTCTTTTTTAAAATATTTTATTTTTATTATTGTGTGTGTGTGTGTGTGTGTGTGTGTGTTGTCTGCATGTATGTAAAGCATGTAGTGCAATGTCTGTGGAGGATGGAAGAAGGTATGGGATCCCCTGGAACTGGTGTTACAGACAGTTGTTAGCTGTCATGTGGGTGCTGGGATTCAAACCTGAGTCTTCTGCAAGAGCAGCCAATGTTCCTAACCGCTGAGCCATCTCTCCAGTCCCCCCTTTGTTTTTCTTAAATTACACATTGTGATAGTTAGTTTTCATTGTCAACTGGATATAATCGAGAATCACCTGGGAAGAGAGTCTCAAAAAGGGACTGTCTAGACCATGTTGGCCTCTGGGTATGTCTGTAGGTCTTGATTAGGTTAATTGATGTGTGAAGACTCAGTCACTGTGGGTAGCACCATTCTATGAGTTTGGGTCCTGGCTGAAAAAGAGTGGAGAGACAGTTCATTTCTCTTTGCTGTTGTCTGCGATGTGATGTGATGTGATATGACTGGCTGTTTTAAGTTCTAGCCACTTTCACTTCCTTGCTATGATGAGCTGTAACCTTGCATTGTAAGCTGAAACAAACTCTTTCTTCCCATAAATTGCTTTTCGCCAGAATACTTTATTACAGCACATAACTGCATACTACAAGAGACCGAATAATGGACCCCTTGGCCATCCACACTCTAGTCCCCATCACCTTTGAATAGAGATGTCATAAATCCACCACCTTTAAAATGGAATGTACTAGATTATACAAAGATTTGGTCTAACCACACAAGTCCTTAAAAGCAAGCACGTCCTGTAACTGGAATAAAATATATATATATA